TTCAATGGACGGGTTACGCTCCTTTGTGCGAGTTGGTAAGAACAAAGGTATCGTTGGACATCGAAATAATCGTTGGATCGTCTAATTGAAACGTGGACGTGGGAAAACTGTATGGGGAAAGTTAATTGGAGAGACTTCAGGATCAAAATGGAGAACGTAATTATTGAACGAATGAAGAAAAATCCAAGTAGGCGATTTATAATAGTAAAGAAAAAAAAAATGATTGATTAAATGCAATTAATTTGAAATAATATTTTATTTTTTGTAGATATTAATTAAACACTATTATAAGAGATAAATATTTTATTCAAGTATTACCTACTATGAATGCAATCGAATACTACATGAAATATTTGATATTACGAATATGATAGTACAATATTAACAAATATTTAAACTATATATATTTGAACTATAAAGTGAATGAACGAAGCAAAATCCAAATGGTTTATTCGATCCATTTCACAATAAGGGTGTGTAAAAGGGTGTGTATTTCGAATCACGATAAGAAAATGTATCTTAATTAGTTATTTGAAATAAGAAATAAGAATATTTATTTATATTTGTGTTAAATGAAATTAATTGCGATAAGATTTTACTTTTGTAAATATTAATTAAATATTATAAGAAATAGATACTTATTTGATATACTTATAAATATATAATAAATATTTCAATTATATATTTGAATATTAATATTTGCACGAATATTTATTATGAATTGAATATTGTATAAAATACTTGATATGATATTATATTATAATATTAACAAGCCTTTGAAGTATTATTGTATTTGAATGCTTATGATATATTTACTATGGTTGCAGCATTGAATACTATATGAAATACTTATTTGATTTTAACATATAAATATTGTTTAATATGAACTTGAAATAAATATTTTTTATTATATTCTTTATTATAAATGCAATGAAATATTTGAATATTTATATTTTAAGTTTATTTGTTAATCAAAAAAATATAAAAGTTTCTATACATTTCTACCTATTTTCTTTGTCAAATATTTGATGTTCATACATGATTATATAACTTTGATACATAAGATATTAAAAATTATTATTATATTTATAAATATTATCAAATATTATAGATATTATCAAATATTTATTTCTAATACACTTTAAAATTTTATAATTTTTAAATTAATAATTGCATTTATTACACATAAATATCTTCTATGGATGTATTTATCACATGACCTAGAGTCAAAGAATTTTCATTAAAAAAAAAAGAAAAAAGACGAAAGATTGAAGCAACAAAGTTGTAGTAACATTTGTGAAGGTAAAGAAGAAAGATTAGTTTTAGTGAGAGAGTTGTAAAGAAATATCGGTGAAAACATTTGAAAATATTGGAACCGATTTTCCTTCAGGGCGAGAATGTCAAGATGTTGCAACTTCTCTAACTTTCTCATTCTAGTCTTCTACAACTCTTACAAGTTCTCGAAAGAATATTTACTTCTGTTGTTTGTTTTATTTTACAACACGTCTGTTCACTTCCTACATGTTCGTAATTTTCAAACTTTATGAATTTAATCTAGGTGATTTTATACAAATACTGTAATAATTCTGATATAATAATTTGAAATACCAATTTATTCCTATACTGAATAAAATATTATACTATTTTAAATACTTATTTGATTTTACAAATATATAATATGTTCTTACAAAAATTATTTGTTATAAGATACACGATATATGATAGCTTTAATTTTTTAAATACTACAAGAATTCATTATTTCCCACAATAAAGTATTTAAAAATATAATAAAATATTATTAAATAAAAATATTAAACTATTTTAATTTAGAAGATATTGTATCTTGAAACTTATCATATAAAGAACAAGGAAACTCTACTGTTCATACTCTCCTTATTTTTTATATAAATTTCACAAACTTCTAAATTAAAATATCAAAATATCTCTTAAATTAAAATATAAACAGCTTGTACTTTTTTTTTTAATAAAAATCGTGCAATGAAAAATTCCCTCAAAATATTCACCCTTCCATTGCGCTCCCTGAAATACTCGGAGAAAATAAATTCACTCAAATTTTTGATTTCGATGAGCACATCTCGTTACTCGAACTTGGCCAAGTGGCATCAATCAAAACTTCCATATGACTGCGTACGAAAACACGATTCAAAACTGTATTTTTCTATCTACTCGACCGTGTGTTCTTCTACCCATCGATACGAGTCACTTGTCGGACAGAATTGGTCAATCTTCGATAGAATGATCGATAGAAGGCGTGATAGAGAGGTTGCGTCAAACGAGAATACCGCATGATGCGTGTGGGGCCTCCATTATTGGCACACGTGCTATTCCCGACGACACGGTCATAGGGCGAGACTGGTTTACGTGGTTGCACGTATGTACATACCAGGACTAAATGTTACACCAGTCATCCCCAATTCCGTCTATTGTCTGTATTTATCTTCGGTAGGCCGGTTACATTTTCATTCGTACATACGTTTGTGAAACTACCTTTCGACTAGGATAAACACCCCCTTATATCTATTATCTCGTTGTTGGAAACTCGTAATTACAATGACGAATACTATACATTGTAATGTGTGCGTTATTTGTGTTTGTATAATATATATAATGTAGGATCTCGTGCAATATTATTGCAACGCGAAGAAATTGCATTATATGTTTATTTTTGAAAAATAGAAGAATTGAAAATTTCTTTCTTAAAGAAACAATGAAGGAAACGTTGGGAAATAAAGAATATGCAAATTCTGGAAAATAATTCGAAGGAACCAAAAAATAATAATGGAATTTAATTTTGATTAAATTATAATTTTGTTTTAAACGTTTTTTTTAGTTTAAGTTATTGTGAATAATGAAAAAACTTCTTGTCGTTTTAAATAAAATAAGATATTTTTTATTTAATTTTAATGTATATACAAATAAGATTCGGAAATGAGTTCTTCGATATTTATCGTTTTTTTCTTTTTTCTTTTTTCCCTACAACTTGAGATAAGTTGCTCCATGTATCGTTGGGTTATGGATCAATATGCTCTCCCTTGCCTTATATTCATTCATATTTACCCAAGATATTTTCTTTTATCAATAACTAAAAGAAAATAAAAATGTAATTTTTTTATTTTTTTGATTTGAAGAATCTTTAAATTTTAGATACATTTCTTATCGAATACCTTATATATATATCGAATGAGAACATAATGGCCTTAACCCAAGTCTCAATCAGAGTTTGATTCAGGTCAGGTTTCAGGACTTTGCATTTCCTTCTAAAGTTAGTTTGCATTGACTAACTAATTTCAAAGTCGTAACTATTATCCTGTTCATTTTGTCTAATTTATGAGAGAAATCATCTAATAAATCATTATTCATAATTTTTATTTTCCTTATTAAATATATAATAACTCGATTTGTTTAAAAGAATATTAAGATGTATTTATTATTTTTATATAAAGTCTAATTGATGAAGTGTTATACTTACTTTATATTGTTATTATTTGTGTTAATTACTATTTTATGATAGTTTGTTTTGATTTTTTGTAAAGAAAATTTTGTAAATTTTGAGATAATTAATATATAATATATAATATGAAATAATATAATAACTATATGATAATAATAAAATAAATTCTAATAATTTTTATCACATCATGAAAGAAGTGTGTGATCTGATAATGAAATGTGACAGTTCTCTTATTAATCTCTATTCTATTAAAATATATATACAAGAACATAATATGAGAATATTGAATTCTTTCAACATTTTTAGAATAATTTAATAATTTTGAAGAATAAGAGGAATAACATTGTACAGTTTCCCAAAGATAGCGGTAAATATATGTAAATTTCGCTAATATAATTTTAACAAAATATAATTTATTGCACAACACGCAATAATGTTTGGACATGTACCAGACATTATTATTTCATTATATTTATTTATTATAACGTTATTGAGTTTATTGTTTTTTTATAATATATCAAAGCATCCATTAGCAAAAACATAAATTTTATTAATATTGCATAATCAATAAATAAATTGAATAATGAAATTTAACATTGTAAAAAATATTCGAACACAACAATTTACTTGCTGCAATAAACAATTGTATTTCGTTATTCATTCGATTATTTCGTTAATGTAAAATGTAATCTCAATGTCCAAATATTTTTGTGGTATTATATTTCTCTGTTATTCAATTTATCGTTCGTATGCGCAAACATCACGTGCACAAATAATTAAATTTTTCTTCCCATTAAATATAAATGCTTCAATATATTATTAAAATTTTATATTATTAAAAAATAAAAAAATTCAATGATATTATTATAAAAATACATATAATAGAATGTTAATATATTCATAATCGATCATCGTTGAAAGAAATTGATTCCAAAAAAAACAGGAAAGTTAATAAGATGATAGACAAAGACAAAATGCTTTACTCTATCTTCGTTTAACGTTTAAATAAACCTGTCTAAATAAACTTTAACACGCTACAGCAAAAATCAGAAAAAGTTTCCAGAGATATCGATTTTTGAGGAGCTTAAACAACGATAAAAAAAAAATAAATAACAACATATAAAAAATGTATATACACGAACGAAGCAGACAGACAATTAAAACAGCGATAAATAAAAAACGTAAATCCAAAACGGATTATTTATATTGAATACAAAAAAAAATATGTATATCATAAAATATTTTTTTCACTTTTCACATTTTTTTTATTAAAAGAATTCATGATCATAGAATAGAAAATTCTCATAATTCGAATGTATTAACAAATATTCTCGCGTGAGAAAATTTTGTTTCGATCTCTAGATTCAATTTTCCAAAGGAAAATATTTCTAGATAGAACTATTTTCAACAGAATGATAATCTTTCACGATATGAAATTCAAATATTAATACGAGTTAGAGGTTTATTAATGATAGTTTGCAATATTGTGGAACAAGTTGATGTAACGATGCTCGATATTAAATTACAGAACTATGCGAGGAATGGGCTCTGGCGAATAGTCGCGAGTGCGTGGAGGGCGGAAGTTCAGCGGGTACGACGCACGATGAACCTGAGGACGCATCGGAGGCCAGGTTCACCCTCAAATATTTGGGCAGCACCCTCGTCGAGACGCCTTCTAGCGAAGAAGCTACTGCAGAAGCCATCAAGACTGTCATTACGATGGTAGGTATACGCTTTTTACGATTCTTTTGTGATCGTTTCTTTCTAGTCTTTCTAATCCTTGGCATGTTCCAAGATCCGGAAGATCCGTTAGAATTGATCGAATTTATCGAAATGGCGGATTTCATATATAGAAATACAATTATATATTATTGTAATTATATAATTATTATAATTATATAATTAAATATATTGTAATTATTATAATTATGTAGTATTTGTTTATTTTCATGAAATAAGTTTATATATAATTATTATAATTACTTATATCGAAAATATTTAGATATTTATTATATAGATTGATAATTGTAATGCAATTTATTTCTGGATCATGCCCTATTTCAATGCTTTATATAGATTTTTGTGACTATATATAATTAATATATCTTTCTGGAAAGATATAACTTAAATATTTCATTTTCTTCGATTAAAATATTTATTTTTCAAATATTGAAAGATAGAAAAACTTAAATATTTCAATATTCGAATATATTTATTATGCTTCCTTTAATTTTTATGTGAGATTTTAACCCTTGACGTGTTCTAAGATCCGGAAGATTCTGTTTGTTAGAATTGGTGAATCTATCAAAATGGCGGATTTCATATATAGAAATACAACTACATATTATTGTAATTGTTATTATAATTATATAGTATTTGTTTATTTTCATGAAATAAGTTTATATAATTATTATAATTATTTATATCGAAAATATTTAAGTATTTATTATATAGATTGGTAATTGTAATGTAATTTATTTCTGGATCATGCCCTATTTCAATACTTTAGATTTTTGTAACTATATATAATTAATATATCTTTCTGGAAAGATATAATTTAAATATTTCTTCGATTAAAATATTTATTTTTCAAATATTGAAAAATAGAAAAACTTAAATATTTCAATATTCGAATATATTTATTATTCTTCAATTTTTATATGAAATTATAATGCTCTATTCTGCTTTGCAAGAATCTAGAATCGAGTCTAATTTTTTTCCTATTTTTCCTAACAAGAAAGATGTTAAGAAAATTAATTTTTTAATTGCTTTCGTTAAAAATCCTGTTCTCTCCTGTTAAAAAGGAAGAGAGAAATCATTAAAATTCCTTACAAATTTCTTAAAAATGTAATTTTCTAAATGTGTTTAAAATATTTAAAATTACACTAATTAAAAGATGGTTAAATTAAACAATTTTCCAATGTATCGAGAATAATTTATTTATATGAGAAAAATTTAATACAAGACAAAAGAAATTTTCGAATATTAATTACTAAGAGATTCAACTCAATCTTGAACAAGTTAACAAAGACATTTTCTAACAATGCCTAAAATTACGTATAAATCTCTTCACTGAGTAACTTAAGCCGCACCTATCTCGTTAGTCGCTCGATGAAATAAATTGCAACGCTTAATAACATCGATTAACGTTCTCAGTCTGACAGCTAAAACTTATGGTTAAAAACTCTATAAAAATCAATAACTTTGCTTCATAAATCTGAACCAATGACATTATGAATTTCATCTTTGATATAATCCTTTATCTATCGTTTCAACGGATATTTAAAAAGTTAATTAAATCCTTCTATGAAATCGATTTATTAGTTATTGTACGCGACTGAATAATCTGATATTAAATCTGATAGATTTAACAAGCTATTAAATTTATTTTAATGCGATAATCGATAATTTTGTTTGACGGATAAATTTCATCTTCAGTCTTCATTGAATAATTTCAATTGATTTTAATATAATGTTTTTTAAAATTTGTGTATTTCTAATATTTCCACAAACTTAAGGAGACTTAATATCGTAGAAGCGAGAGATTACATCCGGTTTCAAATTTTGTAAGATATTCGCGATTAAACCGAGTTTAGATAATCTTTGAACAAGTTAATTAATTAATGAATGCATCGTTTATTTAGCCCGAGTTTTCACGATTACGTTGTTGCAAAATGTCGCATTGCAAATTCACTCGCGAATATACTATTTCGAAATAAAATTAAAATCTGAAATCGCTCCTTTCTTTGTATATTATTTCTATAATAATCCAATAAAGTTTCTTTCGTTAAACGAAATATTATTTCTCCAATGAGTACATAAACTGCGATGTTTCAAAGAGGGACGAAATTAAATTAAAAGATATTTCAGAATATGAAATTCGTATCAATTCCTTTTCTAGAAACATTCTAAAACGAAGATGTAGATATAAGAAAACTAAAAATAAGACGTAATGATCGATACAATACGAATGATACATGATAAATATATGATCCATAATTCATGATACAAATAACGTTAGAAAGATTCTATGGCTCAAAATAAAACGAAAGTATAAAATAAGATTTTTCATATACTATAGGAAATTGGCTAATTTCATTTGTATTTAAAAAATTCATTTATTTAAAAAACGAAGAATTATGAATTATTTTATATTATATTTTATATTAGATAAGCGTATGATAAATTGAGATCATAAATCCATCAATATAAAATGAAATTATGCTGTTTTAGATTATAACTTTAACATTTTAACATTAGCAAGAACTGTAGATTATGATGTAATTTATATCGATTGAACCATTTTATAATTTCAAATAATTTAAAATTTAATAATTTTTATAATATTACATAAATTTTTTTCAAATCTTATTTTATTTTGTCTGTATGATCTGTTATAATCTTAACATGAAAAATTTCAATTATAATCGTTATTTTTATCTACAAATAGAATTCTGATTAGAGAATTAAAAAATATTTTAAGAAATAAAACAAGATAAGTAAAGATTTTAAGTTGTAAAACAAGAAATAGATAAAACAAAATTCACTTCGAGTCAAGTTCCTAAAAGTATTTTGTTATTTGATAAGATAAAATTCCTGAGAATTTTGGAATTCTTGAACGTGTGGGGAATCTCGAGAATGTCAAGGTTCTTGAAAATTTCGAAAAGTTGAATTATGTTTCAGGTCTAGCTAGGTCTTGTCTTCAATCAATATAACATTCCTTGTACTAATTCATCGACTTTAAAAATTTTAAATTGTTAAAAAATAATTTTTTTAAAAATTAAAATAAAACGTGAAAATTACTTTATCAAACAAAATTTTAATCAACAAAAATGACTTTTTTTCTATTTTTGCTAATGTTATTATTAAATAAAACAAAATGATATGAAAAAAAAATATATTTTTACATGCAAATTTGAAATAAAATTTTATATTCTATTAAATACTTATTTTAAATTTATTTTATACTTGATATTCTATCTTTTAGTTTTTATTATTTTGTTATTTTACATGATCAAATTTGAAAATAACTGAAAGATTGAAATTAGAAGAATTCTTCAGAGCATTGGATTTCTGATTTTTGCATAAAACTTATGGTTATATGATACTCTAATATTAATATAATTATTAATGTATTGATATATCAATAATTAATAAATAGAATTATATATTAATATTTATTAATATTAATAGTATTATTAATTTAATAGTATTATTAAAATTCTATATTATATTAACATAAATTAATAAATTAACATTATATAATAATATTGGTATTTTTATTAACTAATATTGATTATTGGGAATTCTATTTATAATTTGCATCAAGTTTCTCTTAATATTTAAAAAATAAATTAAAAAGTTGATAATTTCATGAAAAATAATTTGTGTATTTATAAAATTTCTTCATTTAAAAGTTAATTTTAGATTTTCAAGTTATAGTATGGGTGTTCTAATTATAAATGATCTTATGATAGTCAAAATAAAGTATTGCAAACTATTTTTTTAGAAACAAATGAAGATATCGATCTTGGATATATTTTTGTATTCTTTTAATGTACAACAAATTTTTTAGAAAGAAAAATTAGAAAAAAATTGATCTATTTAATTCTTTTTCTATATAACTTTTTTTTTCACACAATTTTGAAATAATAATACAATTTAAAAGACAAAAGCAATTTTATATTCATTCATTATTTACACAATATATATTTCTTTAAATAATTCAAAATTTTTTATTAGATATTTAACATTAAAGTATTGCTATTTGATCAATTCTATTAAAAAAGTTTCCATTATATTATTTAGAATGATACATATGTACTTAAAACTTAAAACTTAATTGAATTTGATTAATTTTGAATTATTTTTGAAAAAAATTTATTTTATTAATTGAATTAATTTTTAAGAATTTTTTGAATTTTTCTCTCAATATTGATACATTATCTTTAAAATGTTTATTTTATTAACGACACGGTATTTTTTTTTTTCAAATAAATATTTAAAAAAATATTCTATAAATATTAAAATACATTTTTATTCAATGATTTTCATACTTCTACTACATTTAAAAATAATTTATTGTATTATCCATATCGGATTTTCATCTGGAATCAGTTTTTTCGTATGCATTTTATTCTTTTTTTACACAGTTTTCATTTACACAATATTTTTTTGTAAATCAATCTACCGCATAAATAAAGAATTATACGTGTATTTTAAATTCAATATATAATATTACTGTAATTTTTTAATTTCAGCATTAATTATTTTCTCAGCGTTACAAAATAATATTATAAAATTTACATTTAAAATTCTATGACGAGTCAAATATTGATCGATTAATTTTATCGTTTACTAGCAATTTCAAATTTCAAAACATATTTATATATTTTTTAATTGTTACGTATCGAATATATATCAAATATTTCAAACGATAAAAACATTGATTAATCAATCATTTTCTTTTCTCATTTTAATCAAAAAAACTCTTAATAATATTTTTTTTTCTCTTCAATAGGTGAAATTAACTAATCAATCATTTTCTTGTTTCATTTTAATCAAAAAAACTCTTAATAATATTTTTCTCTCTCTCTCTTCAATAGGCGAAAGCAAGCGGCAAAAAGCTACAACGAGTTTCTCTAGCCGTGAGTTTAAAGGGTATTAGAATGACGGATCTTGCCACGGAAGAAGATCAGCTCCAGGTATCTATATACAGGTAAGCACGAAACGAGTGCTCCATGAACATATTCGAAGTATTTCTTGCTTTGTGATACACGCGTATACACACGCACGCACGTACACAAATGCGCGCGTCAGTCAACGATTGGAGAGCCCGTAATCGGACGAAACCGGATTTGTTGGTTCTGGCCTGTTGTACATTTCCCTCTGCGTCAGCCAACATAATATCCGATATTCGGGCTAAAATGTATTCGAAATATCACGCAGCGGCGACGAGTAAACGTTACATGATTTGATTCTGGAATATTATTCCCTCCGCTAATTCGAAACTATGATTTACCGAATGGATCGTTCGATAAGTCCAATATTTCGTGTTGGAATAAAAAATCCGTAGTTTCTATCGATTCTTTTTTTCCCTCTCCGCATCCCTCTTCGTTCGCCTCTTTGTGGTTGTGCTTACCTCTTTCAATGTTGGAAATAATCAGAGACAACGATTGTTGTTTCTTGCTTTTTTTATAATTTCGAGCATTTTACGACAAAGGAATTATATTTTTATTGGAAAGAAATCGTCAGGAATAATATTATTGAATTATGTGATAGTAATATTGTTGTTTCATTTTTTTTTCATACGATTATGATATATTTAAAAAACAAATACTTTTGTTGTTTAAATATTCTTAAATGGTGAATTATTTAAAAATTTTTAATCTCGAATATTTCATGATCAATTTTTATCGAAATTCTTTGGAATAATGTTATTGAATATAATATTTTTGTATATAGATATATGAAGAGATTATTTTAAAAAATCATTTTTAATTTTAAGTTTATATTGTAATAAACGAATTATATTAATTTTTTCGAAACAATGCTATTGAATGTATAGTAACATTATTATTTTTTTATATATGATTGTAATATATATAAAAAATAATAAAGTACCTTTTTATTATTTATGAATCATAAAAAAAAAAAAAAATAAAAGAGAAACGTGACAACGACATGAACTATATATTTTCTTAATCACGTGATATCCTCCAGTTTCAGTAATCCAATATAATACACTGACGCTTTTAATGTCACTTTAATTAACCCGTGGTTCGTATAAACGACCGTAATTCAAATATAATTAAAATGTAAAATGTATAATGTTGTTTCGATTCATGCGTATATAGTTTCACGCGAGAAAGATTTATTTAATTCGTTGTAATTTCATATTTTTATCTTTTGAAAAAGCTATTTTCTTCTTCTTCTTTTTTTTTTTTCCAAGCACTTGGAAAAAAGCCCTACTTTATCATTCGGGATTAATATTCAAATTGAACGTTAGGAAACTGCATTTGTGCTTGTTAATTTCGTGCAATTTAATTTATATTCTTTTAAAGCATATCTTCTTTATATATAATTTTCGTAGTAAAAATAATTGCATATACTTTTAAGTAACTTTTATAATAACTTTAATAACTTTTAAATAAGTTTTGCAGTTTTCCAACATTTATGTTTCATGTTTTTTGTCAAAATGTTTAATTGCAACAATTTTAGCAAAAATATATTGTTTTATTTAATATTAGATGTTTAGATTGAATTATACTTTATTTCATATATATTTCAATTAAATTTTGATTGAAGAGAAAGTATAAAAGTAAAATTTAATGAGAAATTTTAATTTTTTTTTTATTTTATATATATATTATGTAGATATTCAATGGAGTGAGAACGAAAAAAATTAAAATTTCGAAATTATTTTTTAATAATTATAAAAATTTGCCTTTGTCATAAATATATGCGAAAAATAGTTTCTGTTAATTAAATTTAGAAATACCATAAAGTCTTTCAAATTTTAATTTTTCGATTATTTTTAAATTTTATTTTTAAACTTGTGTCTTTTTTAATTCTTCTGAAAAATTATATTTCCGTAAATTATTAAACAGGAATTTATAAAATCAGTGAAAATAATAATTTTTCGTAATATATAAAATCTATTTATTATTAAGCATAATTATAAAACATTTATTCATTGTTAAAAATCATAAATAAGAAAAAAAAATAAAATTGTTCCCATGTTTTGTTCCCATCTTAGTATAAAATTCTTGTAAATCATTAATCATGAATGCAATTTTTTTCAGAATTTCATATTGTTCGGCGGATGCAGCTCATGATCACGTGTTCGCGTTTATCGCAACAAATTTGAATGAAACTATGGAGTGTCACGCGTTTCTCTGCCCCAAAAGAAAAATGGCGCAAACGGTGACGTTAACGGTCGCTCAAGCCTTTAACACGGCTTACGAAGCTTGGCAACTATCCCAATCCGATCCTAGGATTCATCACACTCAGGATAAAAGTCCCTCGTTAACTGATGATAGGAACGGTAGGTAAATTATTTTCAATCCCAACATTTTAATTACAGATCGAATACAATCGAAACTTGGTTTAAAATTAAAAAAAATCCAAAAAGATTTCTTTAAGAAAAATTTGAAATTCTCAAAACTGAAATATTTATTTTTGTGCTTTTTTAGATTTTTAGCCTCATTTTAAAATTAATTAAAATTCAAGATCGAGAAAAATAAATTTTTAAAAAATAGATTAGATTAGGGCAAATATTTTTTATCTCTTTGAATAATATAGAATTTTGTACATGAACTTTTTTTTGATATTATTTACATAAAGAAATACATAAAGAAATAATATTTCAAATGTATATTTTGATATCAATTCAAATAAATATTATTTTGAAAGTATTTTATTTAATTATTATTGATATAATTATATTATGTATACATAATAAGATTTTTAGCTAATTGTTGTATTAAAATTTGTATCTCCTCATTTTGATCTATTATCTTTTATTTTCGAATTCAATTGTAAATAGTATACTCTTGATCTAAATATAAAACTAAATAACATAAAATTATATTTTGAAATTATGTTTACTTAAGCATCTAATGAAACAATATTTCCAAATTTTATTTCAAATAACCGATAAAAAATAAAATATAGAAATTCAATCTCTTCGCAAGCTAAAAAGATAACTATTATTACTATTGATTGACAATATAATCCAATTTCGAAAAATTTCAGAAATCGAAGTTCATTAATTAAAAGAATAAAAAAAGCATTCTGAATTTCGAGAATTTAGATTATTGTTTCGATTCTATCCCCATTTTCTAAAAATTCTATTTTATGAAATTCTTATCAGCTATTTTTAACAATTTCAAAACTGAATTTCTAATATATAAAACTACTAATAATTTTTTTTCTTCTCTTTTCTACAAATCCTTTAAATTAATCAATCCATTAAGTAAGAGATAATTGAAAGGCGAATTATGGAATTTAATAAGTGAAGAAAGAAAGCTAGCTTTAATCTTGAACCATTTGATCTGTGGTAAAAGTCGACGTGTCTGTGAGATGGAATATATATCTGTGTAGTTGTGCACTTAACTCCCCGAGAGTGCGGATATTGCGGAGGGTTATTCGCGGAAGGTTACGAGTGCACCCTAGGAAATTGTCCGGTAATATTGGACTTCGTACATATCGAACTACAACACTATCGAAAACTGGAACAATTATACAACTCGCGTGCTCTCTTCATTTGTGCAAACATTGTTGTGCACGGTTCGCTTCGAGGAACAAATTAGCTATAATTATAAGCGTGGCATATTTTTAAATTAATATTTAAAATTTCACTCATTATTATGTAAAATTTTATTTTTCGGTTAATTTTAATATAATTTATTGTGTGGTTTCCATTCAGAATATAATTTATAAATTTTTAATAAATCATAATTTTTTATTCGCGATGATTTTGATTATGAAGTAATTATCAATCATACAAAGATGTGCATACAGAAAAAAATTGAAAGAAATATTAAGAAAAGTGAAATATTCTCATAAGCAAATACTAACTTTTTACTTTATTAAATTTGAAATCTCGGAAGAATTTCGAATCTCTATTTATATTTGATATGAATTAAATATTTATTTTCCGTTTAATCGAAAATGCAATAAGCATCGAAGATAATTATATTTTTCCTTTTTTATAATCTTAAATACTGAAAATATAACTTGAAATTTTCTTTTTATTTTATGTTATATATATGATATTAATATATTATATCGTAATAATTAAATGTTATTAAAATTTAAAAACTATTAAAATGTTAAAATATAAAAAATTTATTGTAACGTAAATTAATCTCTTATTAATCTCATCTTGAGTAATTATAGATTAATCATTGTTTCAATGAGAAATTTTTATATCGCTATAAATATTTATTTCTATTTTGTATTTCAAAAATCTTTTTCCTCAGCTCTACATATAGCACTTCAATGCATTGATTAAACATATATATTTTTTTTACTAGTTTCTCGAAACGCGAGTATCGATTTAATGATGTATCTGTAATTAACAAACGACTGTTTAGAATTACGAGATGACTCGAAGCTACCAATTAGCAACAAATGAGAAATCAGTGTTCATTTGCAAGGGTTCTACTTCTGCATCACACAGATTTATGAACATTAGTGTATACATGGATCGATAATGAAAGCGTATCTAGAATCCGTATTATAAAGATAAGAGTTTCATTTCATGATTTATGCAAATGAGATTTGATCGTTTATTTATTTTTTTTCTTGCACACTATCTAATTCTTTATCGATGCAAAATTGTCAATTATTTTTTATATTTCTTTCTTTAGAAAATAACGAGAAGAAAAAGAGCGAAGGAGATGCGAAGACTGTGGATAAAGTTAATGAACAGAATAAAGACAATGGCCAACAACGTAACACGAATGACGCACCAAAAAATCTTTTAATCGATTTATCGAATGAGAGTAAAGCAGTTGGAAATTCATGGGTACGTAATTTCAATTTACAATTACAAATTAGACTTTGATTAATGCGAATAATATATTCCACGAATTAATCGCACAATTGCATTACTCGAATATTTGAAATACGATGGTTAATTTCAATTTAATGAAATATGAAAATTCTTGAAAATATATTTTTATATATTTATTGACATTTTAATCGATTATATCGTGTATGTTATGAGCAAAATCATTGCATAAGAGATATACGAACTACATAGAGTATAGTTAATATATCTGTGAAACATTTTTGGAGGGTTGATTTTAAAGATCAAAATAAATTTAAAAATTGCGTTTATTTTGGCGTTTATTATATCTATAAAAGAATTGAGTCTCCAAAGATATCACACAAATATTGTAATTTATATATTAATTATCCTGTACATATAATATAATTTAATATAAGAAAATATTATTAATATATAATAATGTTTGAATATAACAATTATATAATATAATTATATATTATATTATGATATTATAGTTATGAAAAATTTAAATTATAATTTAAATTTAATATATACAATTTGTAATATTTTTCTAATTTAAATCCATATCCAAAAAGATCTTTTTTATTTTTTTATTTTTTACAAAGAGAAATTACATTTAAAATTTTATGGATTGTGTAATCTGTAAAATGTGCAATAAAAAACTCTTTTAGATAATGAGAAGATTTTCCATATTAGATACATATTCTTCAAATTATATTATTTCCTACGAGACTTCATTAATTGAATTTTGATTTATAATTGTGATGATAGTCGCATTATTTAAATTCGCATTAATCAAGAACCAGTATTATAATGCATATTAATTAATTATCAAATACACGAATTTTCTAATATTTTTCTAATTTACAATATTTCTAGGTTTGCTTCGAAGACGAAGACGGTAAGAAGGTACAAAAGAAGAGTAATGCTACTAGTATCCCTATGACAACTTTAAGACACACCACGACATCTGCATCACATCACGTTGTACCGAGGTCAACGACAGGTTTCAAAATACAAAACGCTTGGGGTGAATCAAGATCCGTAGACTTGATGTGCTCGTAGCAGGCGTAGCCTTCGGCCGATAGCTTCCGAGATGTACCATTAATCACTGGTCTCTGGAAGTATCTATCGAATAACGGCCAACCGAAGAAAACCAAACAATAGACTAATTATTATATCGTCGAACTTATGATATTATTTCTAAACGATCAATCGAATCACTGGAACATATGTTTTTCCAAAATTTCGAGATAAACAAGGTGCTAATTGTGATCACTTTTAAATCACTCGATTAATTTTTAATATCGATATTTTATTGAATATCATAGAATCGACGAAGAAAAAAATATGGCGATTCTTTTTATGATGACTTTTTCATTCACTTAATATCTTCGAAGAATAATTGATATCGAGCGGTGCTCGGGAAGGATTGATGATTCAATAAAAAAAAGATTTTTTTTAATTTCGTGTATAAGAAGTGGGAACAATTTTTGAAATCCCTTTTAGGATGCGTGATCTGTGCCAATTCGTTCAAACATATCGTATACAATTTTATATTACTTTTATATTGCTGATATGCGTGTATATTAAAGAAATTTTTACTACTTTAACTATATACGTTAAAAATCATTTTCTTTTTTTAAACGATCTTACAATGAAAATCAAAGATAGTTAAGGAGACGATAAATCAAAACAAATATAATTTTTGTTACGTAGTTATAGTCGAATTATATTCGTTATTAAATAGCTGGGCTATTACTTAATTGAATTTAAAATTAATTTTTTAAATTCATTTTTTTTTGCGGGAAGAATATTTAGAAAATAGATTTATAATTATGCAATAATAGATAATATGCTAATTATTTTTTTAATATTATCGCTTGTTACATTGTAATTTTTAAAAGAGAAATATGTTACAATGATTTTTGTTTCTGTCTTTTTTTTCTTTTGAATTATCTTTAGGATGACAAATAAATAAGAATCGATTTTATCCTTCCGAAATATATATTAATAGATACTGTCAGCAAAATGATCTTAATTAAATTAATGAAATAATTATAAATAATAAAATAATGTAATTTGCTATTAGAAACATGCATTGGTGCATATATTATAAAAAAATATGTATATCCATGTAGCATGTTTATCATCAAAATTTGTATAATAATTTACATCGAATTTGCGCTATTCAATGTGAATATATCTAAATAATACATACATTTATCCATGATAACTTTACTCACGATACTTCATTTGCGAATATAATTATAGATATGTATAATTGCTTTCAATTTATATTTTAAATCGTTAAAATCGTTATCATTAAGATGCTAGAAGCTTTTTAAAAGAACTGTTTTTGCTTCTATATAGATATAATATCCATTAGTTTATGTATATTGGTTTTTTTAAATACATGTTTATATTCACGATATATAAAAATTCATGTTTATATTATATTTTCGAATATTAGTGTTTATAACTATTACAATGTTGCATTATACATGTATATACGAAAGTTTATTGTCCATTAGTTGATGTAGTGGGCTATTTTCGTAGAAAAGATAGATATATAGATAAAATGATATTGTACAATCATTATCATGCTTAACATTCATATTTTTATTTGTGATAAGAATGTCAATTTATAATTACAATAATTTAACATCAAACTGTGATGTATTTCATTTTCGATAACATGAATCAAATAAGAAAAGGAATTTGTAATTATTGTAATTGTCATTTTATTAACTTTTTTACAAAGATGTATAAGAGAGTAATCAAAAGACTTGAATCTTATTTCGTTTGTAAAAATTAATGGCAATTTTGTACAATTATTTTGTATGATGATAATATAAAAAAAACTCGATACGATGCATTTTTAAAGTTGCAAAACGTTTGTGCAACATCGTTTAATATCGCTAAGTGTTTGAATATAAGTATACGTTAAATATACATATACATATCTATTTGTGCTTTATCATTAAATAATATTCGTATATTCCTTATCTCTTTGTTTTTAATAATAATAACCGAAAAAAATTTAACATGTATATATTCTTTGCATGATTTTATAAGAATATATTAGATATTTTAGATACTTTTATTGATTCTATTTTTTACAAGGAATTTTTTTTATTTTCAGAGATAGCTTAAAGATGGCGGCAGATATCAGTTTCAGAAATAAACTATTATAGATAAATATTCTAGTAACTTTTTTAATCAAATAGATTTCGTTAAATTATTCAATTTTATATAAATTACTTAAAATTTTATTAAAATATTTGCATTATGCATGATAATGCAATTATATCACTGCCACTAAATAGAGATGCGTATTCAAAATAAATCCTTTGCTTTAAACTATATAAAATTATATTAAAAAACAATTTAGTTTGCTAATGAAAAATATTGTGCGAGATATTATTAAAATTGTATTAAATTTTATATATATATATATACACATGTTTGTATGATGTATATACATGTTTTTTTTCACAAGAAACATAAAAGAAATTGTAATCAATCTTAATTATATTCTAAATATAATAGTTCAAATTTGTTCAAATTATTATGATCCAACAATGACTTTTGTAAAAATTGGAATGAGATAAGTTGAAACGTAACTCGCATAGTCATAAACGCATACTATGTAATCTAATAACATTCACACATTAGCGGGTTATTCAAAAGATAATAAACACTATAACTAAGCTATATGAAGCAAAGAAAAGGATAATACAGAAATGTTTTGAGGTTATTCTATAGAAAGTAAGGAAACAAACATATTTCAAATAGAAATGAAGAGAAAAGTCGAAAGCATAGCGATGAAAATAAGAATACAAATATAAGTTGTATAAATGAAAGAGTTGCCCAAAAGATGAAATAGACTATTCTTTAGTATAACTATACATATATTTAGATGTTTGATTTTGCAAATGTCCTAAATACGAACATTCTATCAATCAATCTTTTCAAAATCAGATTTAATTTTTTCCAAAAATTTATACAAAATAACTTTTAAACCAAGAAACATTTATAATATTTAATTTTTTAATAAAATTAATATATTTAACTAATTCAATGAAAATAAAAAATTTTAATATTCTTCTTGCAAGTATTTTTAGTTAATTCACAATGTTGAACTTATCTCAAACTAATTACTAACCTTAAATGTCGTAATTAGGGAGGTAAACATTTTCGACTTTACTTAATAGCCTGGGAATAATTTACTACTCTTGCGCTAAGTATTTTAGTGAAGATAGGTTACGAAGTCAAGAACGAACATAAATTCAAAGATACGAACACAGTTGAAAATTAGTATTTCATGACACTGATGAAAAACTGGATTTATTAAAAAATGAAAACATGGGCGTAAGAACGAAAGAAAAAGAAAATATATTTAAATCAGTATATATATATATATATAT